CTATTTAACAGATTGGAACTGATACAAATTACTAGAACCTGTATTTTATCTTACAGAGAGATTAATTTACTATTTAACAGATTGGAACTGATACAAATTACTAGAACCTGTATTTTATCTTACAGAGAGATTAATTTACTATTTAACAGATTGGAACTGATACAAATTACTAGAATTTGTATTTTATCTTACAGAGAGATTATGTTACTATTTAACAGATTGGAACTGATACAAATTACTAGAATCTGTATTTTATCTTACAGGAAGATGGTGTTACCATTTAATAGATTGGAACTGATACAAATTACTAGAATCTGTATTTTATCATACAGGCAGATGATGTTACTATTTAACAGATTGGAACTGATACACATTACTATAATTTGTATTTTATCTTACAGGAAGATGGTGTCATAATTCAACAGATTGGAACTGATACACATTACTATAATTTGTATTTTATCTTACAGGAAGATGGTGTCATAATTCAACAGATTGGAACTGATAATTCCGTGAAAGCAGATAAAGATGGGAATATGTCACCCTTGAAACTAAGTACATCACCTAAAATCGAGGCTTATGATCAAGATATAGGAATTAATGAAACAATCATGTACCGTATTCCAAGAGGCAAGTTTACTTCTTCTTCCAAATTAGACAGTTGTGTATCTGATTTATGTTTTAGTAAAACAAAATAGTAGAGTTCAGAGAGTGATAATTATGTCTTAATAACACAAAATAGTAATCTAAAGGTAGTGATCGAGTTATATCTTAGTAATACGTAGTAATAGTGTTTAAACTATAACAGATAAAATTTAGTAATTCACAGGTTTTATTAATGCATTCGTTTACTACTCATCTATTAATAAAAAAACAACAACAATAACCTACCTGTGAAAATCCAGTAAAATCAAGAACGATTTAAAAAACTCTTTACTTTGTTTCAAAGAACCATTTAAATGTATTTGTCAGATTTAGGTAAATCTGTGCACCCAGTCTTGAGTGCCTCCAAACCATCTTTATCTTTCACAAGGGGTTCAGTATGAAATGTTCGGAAACCTAAACTTTTATAATTATTTTGAACCCTCCTTTAAATGTAATAGCAATGCAAAAGTGCGTCTGTGGATTCAGTCACCATAACCTGAAAAATTCTAACTCGATAAGGAATCTAAGTTTTAAACATTTCAAGTCTAATATTAGATTATTGTTTTAACCAGCTTCTTGTCTACTAATGTCAATTTTCCAGTAAATTGACTCAATAAAACATAGAAGACATGAAAATACCCCTCATTTTCGATCCATTTTCTGAATTTGTTTATCTGTTACTGAGAAGTTTGTAATCACTCTAAACGTACAGTTTCACGCTGAGTGAGGATCTTAAAAAATAAAGTTAACACGGAAACTTAGAAATACATATAATAACAGAATTAACCAAGAAAATGTCACTTTGGTGTTTATGCTCTTCCCGCTAAAATATTATGTAGTGTTTATATACTTCAAACTGGGGTGGTGTGATAAAGATTAAACTACTATAATTTAACCTAGATCGATTTCAGCTTCATAGATATATTAGCAAAAATACTTGCAACATTTCAAACCATATTATTTTAAGAAATCATGTTTTTTTGTTGTTGTTGTTTTCACACAGATCAAGATTTTATATTGAAAACCTTTGAGATTGATAAAAACACGGGTGAATTAACTTTGAAGTCTGCGAGTCAAGAACTATTAACAAAAAGTCAGCTTAGCTTCGCTATTGAGGTGGGTACTAGAAAATAGATATAGGTAAAAGTGTAACAGAGGAATACAGAACTGGTGGGTTTTTTTCAAATCACGACGTTACTAAGATTCAATTACGGAAATTTGTGCAGTAAATTTTGAAATTCAAAACAGGATCAGTGTTTAAAGTGCCGTCGGCCAAATAAAATATTATCGTGCATTTTAAACGTAGATCCTAGTTATAATTTCACATTTTTACTAATTCTTTTAACGAAAGAGGGCGATGTTGAAAATAATTGTAGTAGCGACAAATAGGGATCATATAAAATATTCCAATATACTATTGTTCTAGAATTTTAACTGCCTTTTTTATAATTTGTTATTCATTTCTGTTTTATTTATTTATTGTTATTCAATAAGGGAAGTTAAACGTGAAACAACATATAGATTTAATATTTAATATCCATACTACTAGAGTTGCCCCCCAGTGGCACAGCGGTATGTCTGCGGACTTACAACGCTAGAATCCGGGTTTCGATACCCGTGGTGGGCAGAGCAGAGATAGCCCATTCTGTAGCTTTGTGCTTAATTACAAACAAACTACTAGAGCGTCTTAGGTTTTTATAAGTAAATAAAACTGCTATCTTCATAAATACTCCAGGAAAACTTTATAACGCATTAGCAAGTGTGGAATGTATTGAAATAAGAAGGCAGAAGTAAAAATTAGAAAACAGAAAACAGTTCCGTTTTAATGCACATACTTAACTTGCGCAAATATTCCTTTATTAGTGATCGAAATGTCTAACTTACTAAGCATTTAAACAGGTAGGCTTTGAACGCACAAGGGTGTGTAAAGTAGCACGCAACACCTTATGCCTTAGGACAGTTTGTGCCATTAAAGATGGACGAAATCCTGTTTTTTAATAGTTTAGAGCAGAGCTAAGTTGGACTATGCTGTATCTATCGCAACTCTGCATTTTAGAATGGTAAGTCCGTGGACTTACTGCTGTCCCATCGTGAGACACTAAACTTGTGTCGACAAATCAATCAACAGCTAGTAAACTTTCGTGACAAATGAGTGAAGGATCAGTAAACCATTCTAGTCAGAACAGTATCAAAGGGCAGCTAACATATCTCCAGTGTTAGCCAGTAATTAGCTGTATTTCCTAAGTTCACAAGAGAACACCTTTTTTTTTCAAATAATGTACATCACATTACTAAAAAACAGTTAATAACACATACGTTGTTATTTCCGTGTGAATTAACATGCAAGTTTAAATTATAATAGACACAAAAGAAAAAAAAAGTTTCACATTTAATTATATTTATATCAAAGTTAAGTGGACAAGTTGGATGAATAATAATAATAATAGCGAGTAATAAATATTTTTTGTCCTTCTTTGAACATTCAATTGTGGTATTTTCGAGTATTTCAGTAGTTCAGACAACTTTAAGCAAGGGCCTTCTTACTTTTAAAATGTCAATATTTCATATGTTTATTTAACGAAGTTCATTAAAACATTGCTAATTAGGGGGGGTAGTTTTCAGTTTTTATTGAGTAACCGGATATTACTTAAGAAGTTTAATTTCAAATCTAAGGCTATTTTGGTTTAGTTTTTAATAAGTAGTATTATAATTTTAGTACAATAATTAGTTTTATATTTAGATGAGTTATACAGCAGCATTTGAAACATAAGAATTAGTCATAATTATTTGGCAAAGTTGCAATAGAACATGTTTCTATTGAAGAATACTCTCTTACGAATGATCACCTTGGTTGTAAGTAGATATTTGCGTAATAGTTACAGTGTTCAGAAAATAAAAATAAAAGCACAAAATTGCGCACAATATTAATAAAAATCAAGTAGGGTTAACTTGTGTTAGGCCTACGTGTGCTTGGAAATTAAGTTTACGTGGCCCAGTGGGACTACTTTTTAAGTGGTCGATTTTAATTTTTGTTTCAGTTCATTATCATTACTTCGCTATGACCTTTTTTTAGGCTTATCAACAGAATAATGATCTTCGAAAAGCTCACGCTACTGTGACAGTCAGGCTTACGACTGAAGATGTGATTCTCCCAATATTCACGCAAAATATCCGTATACCTAAAAGTCTTCCAGAAAAGAGTGAAGTTCACTCCATTGAAGTCAACGTAGATGCAAAATTTACAATTTCAGGTAAGTGTCAAAGTTAGTCATTATCTTATTTTAAATATCATTAATAATTATATATCAATTCAGGAAACTACTGAATGGGTTATCTGAGATCCTATTTACTACACGTTAATGTCGTCCGGTACTATGTATTATATTGTATATATCCAGAATTTGATCACTTTGTTCCGATGATTATTTACTGCTGTAAGATAACACAAAGAAACAAAAAATCAAATTCACCATAAAAATATAAAATATGAAGGTTTAAAAAGTTTCAACCAATATATATTTTAACAACAATAACCGAAAATCAATGGTCATATTTTAATTGTTGGATAACGAAAGAAATTTTAAAGTTCAAAACAAATAAAACTTTAAATAGTGGCAGGAATGGAAAACCCATTAACCATACCAATATATATATATATATCACAATAATACGAAATTATGCATTCAGTACACTTTAAATGTTTTATTGAAAGCTTCGTCTTAAACACAATTAGCAAACAGAATATACGTTAATAGAAAAAAACCACTTTCTAACTACTAAGTTTATACGGTTATTTAAGAACCAAAATATGTTTACATAAACGTGGTGTTTATGGTGGTTTACTGTTTGTCGAACATAAGATTTATGGACTGACAGAGAATAATTTATTCATCTTTATGATAACATATACAACTTCGATTTTAATTCGATGAC